CAGCCAGAGACCTAAACCAATGAGCTATCCAGCAGTTCTGGGAAGATTAAAAAGTTCATTGTAGCTCCTACCGTCTTTCTGTTGATACTTTGTCAAGGTGTCTTTAAGAGTTGCTCAACAACCTTAGAAAAAATGCAGAGAGAACATTTTAGGGCCGAGCTTCTCCTCTCTTTCCCATCTCCGAATGGCCCTTTTCTTCAGATACATTCTGGTCTTACATAATCCAATACCTGTCAAGGAGGCCCAGTGGGGAATCGAACTCTCAGTCTGTGGCCCCGCAGCCAGAGACCTAAACCAATGAGCTATCTAGCAGTTTTGGGAAGATTGCAAAGTTCATTGTAGCTCCTACTGTCTTTCTGTTGATATTTTGTCAAAGTGTCTTTAAGGGTTGCTCAACCTTAGAAAAAATGCTGAAAGAACATTTTAGGATGTCCCATCTCCGAATGGCCCTGTTCTTCAGATACATTCCGGTCTTACATACGCTTTTAAATATTGCCTTTTTAATGAGGTAAGCTGCCTTGGGGTTTTTTAAGAAGAAAAGTGGTGGAATGAATGAATGAATGTTTCTTACATACAGGCAGACACACAGAAAGGGATAGGCAACATTCTTGTGAAGAAGGGCTCAGCCTATACCATTCCTTCTAAGCAGCCTCCTCATGGTTTCCTTTGCATCCAAGCCCAGAGCTGGGCCAGCATGTCCTGAGTCTGTTCAGGCTTTGTTCGGTGGCCTAGACACTTTTGAGAAGACTTTGCATCTCCTGGAAGGACTCTTGTTAGGCAGACACACAGAAAGGGATAGGCAACATTCTTGTGAAGAAGGGCTCAGCCTATACCATTCCTTCTAAGCAGCCTCCTCATGGTTTCCTTTGCATCCAAGCCCAGAGCTGGGCCAGCATGTCCTGAGTCTGTTCAGGCTTTGTTCGGTGGCCTAGACACTTTTGAGAAGACTTTGCATCTCCTGGAAGGACTCTTGTTAAACATCTAAGCCAGTATCTTGATTCATATTACGCTAGGGAAAGCCTTTCTCTTGGCCCCATCACCCTCGCAGACCCACTTGGTGGGGACACGGGTCAGGGCCTTCTCTGTGGCTGCTCCCAGACTCTGGAACTCCCTCCCACTGGAGGCCAGGCTGGCCCCATCTTTGCTGTCCTTCCTCAGGCAGGCCTTCAGTCAAACTTTTCCTTAGCGACAGGGAGTCTGAAAGGATTTTTCTAATGGATTGTTGTGCTCTGTTGTTTTTAAATGTGTTTTTCATATTGATTTTATTTATTGTTTTTAATATAATTAATGTAATTATTAGAATAAATAATTTAATTATTTAAAAATATTTTAATACATACTGTTTTAGCTTTAAACGTTGCCTTTTTTATGAGGTAAGCTGCCTTGGATTTTTTTAAGAAGAAAAGTGGGGCCAATGTAGACGTCGCTGTTTCAGTAATGAATGTTTCAGGAATGAATGAATGAATGAATGAATGAATGAATGAATGAATGAGGAAAAGAAACACAAACTTGGAGAGGTGCTGGTTGCGTTGCTGGTTGGAAACCGATCACCTCTCCAAGGATCTGCTTCTATATATTTTCCTGTTCAGTGTGCAGTATGGCCTCTGACATCTTCATCAGGTATATCATGCAGAGAAAGAAGTCAGCTGGTATGTCACAATGTTCAGTGTTTTCAGCTTGACCCGTTGTGGAAATGCATGGAATTTGCCCTTTATTTTAAAAGCAAAGTTTCATCCTTTCCTCTTCAGGAATCCACAGGAGCCATGAAATGGGAGCAGGGAGTCCTTAACTACCAAGATTGCTGTATTGAGATTTTTTGTAATTAAAGACATCCTCCTCCAGTGACGCAGTTCCCATGGCTTCTCAAGGACGAAAAGGATTACATGGGAGCTGTGGGACAGGAGAAGGAAGTGTCTGTTTTCTTTTTTTAAAAAAAGAATCACCCCTATGGATGATACCATTGGCCTTCCACTGGTGCCATAACTTGCAACAATTCAGCTAAAATTTTAAGCGCACGGTAGGGGAAGTGGGGCTAGGCCCATGAGCATCTCCTCACTCAGTGGCATGAAATGCTTTTTTGGAGTGTTACGCTGGGAAAATTTAATCCTCCACTCAACCATGAGTCTCTTTGGGTGAGGGAGATGTGTGGCAGTCTCTC